AAAAAGCAAGTTAAGCTAGTGCTGTGAAACAATGACTAACTCTAAACTACTATAATGCCTCAAATTATCTTTAAAATAAAAAGTGACTACTGCCATAACATTCTCAATGACTACCCTAAAGCAGCCATTATTTCTGTTTTACTATGTAGGAAATATTGAAATGAAAGAATCTCTCTTAAAATTCATTAAAAATTAAGTCTCTTCTACACAGTGAATTCTAATTCACAAAAAATCTAGAAGATTCAATAGTTTATAATCCAATTTCTTAATACATATTACAAAATATACAATTACTTTGTAGATAATAGGCCCAGAACTTCTATTGCCCAGTAAAACCAGATGAGAGATCATTATCTTATTTGAGAATTTAATGTAGTAACCAGCAAAATAAATTTCAGAGCTTCAGAAACTAGTGCAAACCTGAGGCAGTAAAACCACAAAGTTGAACACCGTGTGGATTTTCAGACTGGGTCTGGAATAAGAACTTCAATATTCCTTTTAGACAGAAGCTGGTTCCCATAGAGCAAAATGTAACTGAGCAGCAGAAAATGTACGGTTCACTAGAATTTTTTAAAATCCTGAACATCAGTTTAAAGATGGAAAGTGTTTTCCATTCAAGACTTTTTGTGTTTTGTTTTATGGGGAAAAATGAAAAATTTCTTATGTACATCTGGTCTACTGTGCTGGAGTCCTACTTGATAAGTTAATTTTCTTCAGAATGAGCTCTGGTAATATAAAATAAAAACATATTCAGATTTTAACTCTGTTCTTGTAAGCCCAGAGTCTATTCCAATAGTGTATTTCAGCAATGCTATAATAGATATACTTTTGTGACATTTACATATGCCTCACTATTTAGGCTTAGTATGGTAAACAATGTCACTTCAGAGGTGAAGCATTAGTAAACATAGGAAGTCATGTTCTAAGAAATATTCTATTGATTAATAATTAATTATAACAGCCATGTTAATTGTAATTGACTCTTCCTCAGATTCTGTGACATTCATCACAGACTTACATATCAATTAAATTAGAGTTATAAATATACCCTGAAAGGGGCAGTGTTTCTTGACAGTAACATTTTACTGCAACATAGCTTTATGCATCATTTTATATCCTGGGCATACTGCCAGTATTGCATTACCTAAATATCCATTTTATATAGTAACTCTGCATCCTCACAGCAACTTATGAAATCAGTCTGATTGTTTAATTTTAGGTTCCAAATCAACATTCCTTCCAAAGCATTAATCTAGTGGTGAATCCGTGCAATTACCAATTTTGTAAAACTTCTTACGTCTGTGTCTGGTAATTTAAACTACCGTTAATTAAGAGGGTTTTTTTGTGTACGTATTTATGTAAGTGCTTAGAAAATAAAGCAATGGCTAAGTGACACTGTGTATCTCAATTTCTCCTTCCATCATATCATACTTGTTTGCTTACAGGACACTGTCACCTTCCCTTTACTAAAGATGATTAAGATCCTATTTAACATTATCATCTCCATTTTCCAAAGCAGTTATCTGGGTTGAAATTTCGATCTATATCCAAAAGTTGTTCTGGGCATGTGTTAAGTGCAGAGGAATTAATGGAAATTTGATTATTACAGTTCTGCAGTTTTGACTTCCATAAAAAAACCAAACCAAACTAAACCAGTTTTGTCATCTGATAGTACTGCCTCCAGACAGCTGAGAAAAAACAAAACACAGACTAGAAGAGCAAGGAAAAGGTAAGCTGACCTCAGACAAATTCTTTTTTTTTTTTTTTTTTTTTTCAATATGAAAGTAGCAAAAGTTCTTTTACGGTAATTTGGTTAGGTAAAGTTTTGAAGTATCTTCTTTTGATTAACCTTAGTCTTGTTGTAGAACAAATTATTGATAGAATGAAATCTCATTATCCAAATAAGTGAATATATTAAAATACTTACGAAAATCCTGGTAACACCTTTAGATATTAAGGAAATTAGGTGATCTACTTAAAACCTAAATTTCTATCTAGGAACACAACTATCTGTTATTTTTCTCTTCATTTTTGATATCAAAATGCCATTAAATGTTCTTTGATATTTAAAATTTTCATTCTGGGTAGCTATCTTTCAGGATAGATATGCCAAACAATTTTTTGCTTCGCTTTTCAGAATTCTTTCAGTTTTCAAAGTGGAAAGATGTTGTTAATACGAATGATTCTGTACTGGCAAGAACCCACAAAACCTGTGTCAGCAACTCTTGTATATTTGTCGACTCAGTTCCTCTTGTATATTTATAAGGCAGTTGACTAAGTGCCTGAGATATTCCAATTCTTATGACTATCTGCTGAAGGACTGCAAAGGTCTCTAACGTTGTTCAGAAAATTTATGGTGATAAAAGAATTTATACCACTCTGTCAGTCCATGAATAATCATTTTACATGTGTCCTCCTCTGTAATTACTGCACATTATAGTAGAGTTTATGCAACACGTAATGCACTGACTTTTTGGGTAGACCAACCACTACATGTAATGTTATCTCCTCCCATGATACTGCCTTTTTTCCAGTTTCCTGCATTTCCTTCAGATGCTTTACAGTTGACATATTATGTCATTAGGTTCTTTTATCATATTTATTTTGTTATCATACAATATCATATTACTAATTTATCACATTTCAAATCGTTGCATTTCTTTTAATACACAATGAAAGCCACAGAATGAAGAACTGCTCCTACTCACTGTGACTTACAAACAGAAAACCATTGACAAAAATAAAAGTGCGTACTACAAATTGTAGACAATTAAGATAAAATAATATTTCCATAATGTGCAACTGGTTGTTTTTCTGTATAGAGTGATCTGCAAACTGCTATACAGAACACAAAGCTCATTTGACGGTATGGAAATCATGCAAGATAATATATCTTCAGTTCTGAAATCATGGTGAATATGTGGCATATTAATCTTGAAGAGAAATGCCATTTTTATTTTTGAAAGAGTATCCACTTCAGGACTATCAACTTCTGACTACTTTGGTGAGATTCATCTGTTGCCTAACATCTGCCTCCTTATACTTTCCCCTGAAGTTATGACTTTTGTCATTGCTAGGCTCGAAGGGCAATAGATCCGATTCAATCTGATGATTTCCTAACAAACTCCAAGTGTTAAATTCTGGTTTAATTCAGTTAAACGGCGACTTTTATCTCAACTTTGCCAGGAAATCTATTTTGCCTTGGAACTTTAAACAGAGGTTGTGTTGATGATGAAAAATAAATCATGTGACAACAGGCCTGGCTCTGGGAACTTAACCAATAACTACCATTATTTAAAGGGTGCAACTAACATCTTACCCCATATGACCCATTTACCTTTCTTCAGAAGTCAGGTGAGTCAACAGACAACCATCACTCTTCCAAAAATTAACTAAACCCCGTTGATTTATCTACCAAATTACAAAATGTTGTTTGGTTTTTTGCAGACTTGCATAATAATTTTCTCATTCATCCTAGTAAACTAGCTACTGCTTTTTTCTCTGGATTTGAAATCCTTTTCCTTGACTTTGTGATCCCGATAATCTCTGTAAGAGTTTATGGACAGAATAAACATCTCCTGCTAAACAATCACATGACTTGATTTATAAACTACTTGACTTTCTCTGAAGTTGGGGAAAAAGACCTTCCACCTTTTCCAAAAATACTAACTTCAAGTGGCATAAGAAAGGGAAACTTAAGTTTCCTGAAGACAGAAGAAAAGTGTCTGATCTTCAGACTATCAAATGCTGACAGCTTGCAGCAACAGAGATGAATCGCTGGCTATATTTCAAATGTATCCCCTTAGGTGAACCTTAATCAGCTCTCAGATGAGATGCAAATACAGTCATCTCCCAAGATTTTGCTCAGAGAGAGAAACACCAAGTAGAAGCCTCAAATGTAAAAAAGTCCAAAGAAACTTGATACAAGTCCTGCTTTTTCACTTATGTCTTCCTAGGAGAAAATTCACCAGGACTGGAAAATAAATACACCTTGAAAAGCTTCCATACTGGAAAATAAATACACCTTGAAAAGCTTCCATACCAAATGTGGGGAGGAAATAGGCTTTTTTCAGTAAGAAACTGTCCTGAAGGTATTAAGGTTTGAGCACAAAATACTTTGAAGCCACTACTCTGTGTCATGAGAATGGAGCAGTCCGCTCCCAAATGGTAGGACCATGAGTAAAATTTAAGAATGCTTCTATAAAAGGCAATATACACATACAAAGCATGAACAGTGAGGACTGATCTCTGAAAGGCTATTGATTATTTCAGGACATCCAAATCAGTACAGAGAAATTCTGCACTAGCCAACAGTCATGAGAACCTAGTGCTTTTTCATGGTGGCTACAAGAACTGGCCAGTCATTCATCCAATGAATTATACCTTCCTCCATAGTTTTTAGTCCAAAATATTCCCTCTATTATCAGTATGAACAAATTCACATTACTAGACTCTGGCCATGGTACCGCAATTTAAATAAACAGTAACTCCATTAAGCTTGTCTGTTTTTAGAAGACATAATGATTGAAGTGGAAATATAAAAAGCATATAAACTAATCTATAATGAATTATTATCAGAGGCTGAGTATGGGATCCTTATGAACCTTTGAAAAAATTATAAGGTCAAATTAAACTAAACTCAGTGAGACTGAGTAATTAAGACCACTATTTTACTTAAAGCATCTGATATCAAATGGTCCTTGCCTTGCATTTTTCCATTCTGTCTAGACTGTTCTTATGTGAAAGCTATCGTGATACATTAAGCAACTTGCTTGGACTATAAAATACAACATTAAAACAAAGTAGAAGAATATGCCTTTATACCTGTTTCAATCCTAAAAGGAAAACATTTTAGTGTTTTTCCATGTACTTTATGTAATAAGGTTTTTTGTTATGTACTTACGTGATAAAGTGGAACTGTATTGTTTTCTGCTAGCGAGAAATTCAAGACATCTTGCTGTCCAGGTTCAAGCCTAACATTAATAGTAGATGTCAACACAGATGGACTAATAGGGTAGTTTGGACTGCTTGTGTTTTTGCCCTTTTTTCTTGACCTACGACCTGTGTCCCTTTTGTTGTCTTTTTGTGTCAAAGGCTCTTCTTGGATGACCAGTATCTTGTCATCACTCAGATATCGCAGGAGTGAATTCTCAGAGTCAGTTGTTGGAGGGAACAAAAGAAAAAAGAAACATAAGTAAGAGGAAACAAACAGAGAACCATTTTGGCTGCACCTGTATTGTCAGCTCGGTTAATTCCCCACTTCATCTGAGGCTCTTTCCTCTGCAAACAAACTTACTTGTACCAAGGTTCCAGTCAAGAGCAAACTAAGTAGTTGGCACAAAACCTAGGCACAGAGAAGATGGTGGTGCATACCCAAGTCCTTGTGTGACAGATAGTATGAAGCTAGTCTACATCGTATGGCTTGTGTAACAAAGAAAATATAAATACAGCCAAAAGGTTTCAAGTGAAATGTCCAAGATCATCACTTGGTATTGTTAAACTGGAAAGAGTCATGTGAATGTCAAATGAATTCTGAGGGCTTGCACTGGACTCAGTACCACATTTACTGACACCCCCTGCCATTTGAGGTGAAAATGAGCATACACATTAAATATTTGTGAATTTTATCAAGCAGGGAGTATCTCTGGGACCATTAGAGAGGCAAGGATTGTAATTTCAAGGAACCTAACAAACTGGAATAATGGTATTAAGGAGATGTGCAGTATACTTGGGCACAATTTCAAAACGGGAACTCGCCAGGCAACAAGTCTAAGGAAAAGAATCTGTCTAAACTAAACATAAATCAACAGATTTGGAATAAATCAGAAAAGTCTTGTGCCTTAAATGAAATTTATTTTCTCTTGGAATGGAAGATTATTGAAAAAGGTAGTTTAAAGTCCTGTATTAATTTTCAAGAATATAATTCAATTTCGTCATATTATAAGTAGTCAAGTTGAACTCCTCTCAGCTACCCACACTGTGCCTAAAAGATTCTGAAAAAACTATTTAAGAATCTTTAACAATTGGCATAACAATAAATATATATGCACATTTGAAGAATATTCTTTTGAATTATATAATCACTTTTTAGCAGAGGAAAAAAAGGAAAAAAAAGGAACTTTGCTATCACCATGCTTTTCCCAAAGTTCATAATTCCCACTAGAATCAATAGAAATTTATATGGTTAGGACTGCTGGTCTGAACAGTGACAGTACAATTGCTGATTCTGGTTTCAAATTCATTCATAATAATCAAAATGTGTCTCAAAGGACATTACCTTACATCTATAACGTCACTTATTGTTTTCTAGGACTGTGCAGATTAAGAACTGATTGCTATTAACATATGTCTGAATCTTATAAGTCTTTTTTCCCCTTGATGTTTCTCTTTCTTTATAGTAGAATTAGCTAGAGTAAATCCCTCCTACTAATACAAACTTTTTAATTTTCAGAAATAGAAACACAAAAACTCAGATACTAAACAGGCTTTTTTATATTCTCTGTGGCACTCAAGAAAAATAAATTTGGTTCCTGCGATATCTTCAAGCTTCTTAAGTAACAAAGAAAAAAAAACCTTGGAGAACAGCAGAGAAAAAAAAATAATACTCACCTCTGCTTCCCCTCTTGTACATGTTTTGTTCTTTTGACTCCCCTATCCAACTGTACTCAGTAGGCATAGAAACAGGCCTTAAATCTCCTGGAAACAATTCAAGACAAACCAATATAATTTTTGAAGACTAAGAATAGAAGGCTGTAGAGTAAGTAATGCCTATAAATTACAGGCATGACAAGACCCTTCAGAGCAATCCTTTTTATCAGCACCTATACATTATTAAAGCTGTAGCATTCAGGATCATTTAAACATCATATATGCCAGATTCTCCTCTTCATTATACCGACCTGACGGAAAGTACCGCTGACTTTAGTGAAAGCACTTGTAAATGTAAAGCAGGCTACAAATTTATTTTTAAACTCTGTTCTGTAAAAACTTGCTGACTCATTAAATAGGTGGTTTGGAATAAAGAGAGAAGCAGTTCTTAAATGGACTAATATGCTTTGGTAAAACTAGAAAGACTATTAATACAGATACAACATTACATATCTATCAGTTAAACAGTAAAACCTATCTGACCTGGAAAAACACACAGTGAGTAATGAGGGGATCTCATAGTTTCAAGGAATGTAAATTTCAAATGAGTTAAAAAGAAAACATAGAGTGCAGGTTGGTAACAACAACAAAAAGAAGATTCAGATAGTAGGGTTTTAATTACTACGATTTTATGGCACTGTGGCTGTAAGATATTAACGTGCATTAGTCATTCCCTGCTACGGTATCAGTAGAACATTGATAGCAGGCCATTAAATGAGGAATACTACAAAACTGACTATAAAACATTAGCACTTTGGCCTTGTCAGTGTGCATTATTATCACAAAACACAGAAACACACCCTCTAGATTATGGGTTAAATTCTGTCTGACCCATAAAGCCAAAGATTCCTTTTTCCGTATGCCAGCTGACTAAATTTAGTGTGTTTCTTTAGCACTCCAGCAAATTTTTTTAAAGTAGTTTGCTACTGTTCTGTTTCTAGGATAATTACAGAATTTAAATGTGAACAAGAGTTTCTTTTTCATTACCAATTTCCCTAGGTTGATTAGAGTGACAAAGTATTTTCTGTGGATTATTTGTATGCTAATATAGTTTTTTATTCACTTTTCTTCCAAAATACAGCTTTTTAGCTACTAAAATGTTAGGAGGATTTAAGAACAAACAGGTATATAAGACAAGTATGCTTCTGGATAACATGATTTTCTGAAAATTGAATGGGTAACATATACCTACAGTACTGATATTTTCCCATATTATACTTTTGCTCATACCATAAAAGTTACTGTATAACTAATTGTATGGAAAATATATGTCGTTTCTGTCTGCCTACCAGTTGAAACTACCTTTAACTACAAATGTATTATTCAACTCCTAATCTCAAATTTGGCCTTAGAAGAACAATATTAATTAAGAAAAACACCCCAACAAATCAAACAAAAGGAAGAATCTGTAATATGGAAAAGAATGAGAAACAAGTAAAGATTATAAATTCAAAAACAAAAATATGAAAATAAGAACGCACATAACAAATGAAGATCAACATAATAAAACTTAGCAGTATTTCTGTAAAGAGAAGAAAGGTCTGAAGCTCTGAAGAGATTTGTAACACAAATACCAGATGCCACAGCACAATCAATGTCAAAAATAGAAATTTAGGACAGGAAACACACAAGCCAAACAAAGGAACTAGTGATTTTGCATACTGCTTATTTTACTTCCAAGTTCTTTCCCAAACAAATGTAAGCTATAAACTGTTTTAACATTGCAACTTGGATCTGTTTTTGAGGAGTAGAAAATTATTGTGTACAAGTATACCAGTATAAATTGAAAGAAAAAACCCCAAAACTTATTTATGGTGGTTTTGCCTCTTTAACACATAAACAGAGGAGATTTGATATGCATTGCCACAAGAACTCTAAACACCATAGCATGTTAGAATCGGACTAATATTAGAATATAACTCTAGGTTAAAAAAAAAAAAATGCACTGCAGCAGTGATAAATACAAGCTTAATTTTCACAAATGGTTTGAGAAAGTGGACTTATTTGCCTCCTTGGATTTTGCATACATTATCAATACTGAGCACCTCGTCTGCCTGACTATCCTTCCACCTACCAGCTGCAACAGAGACTGGTTTCTAATAATCGTTTCAATTCTGGTTAGTCCATGGCAGGAATTTCTGAACTGTGGTTTGTGCGAGTCCTAGCAATAATGAAAGCATCTGCTCAACCGTGAAAGACTTCAGAAGTTTTATTTTCCTTACTTTGCCCATGGCTATCCAGTTCCAGCATCAGATACGTGTTTATTGGATCTACCATAAATCCTGTCTTTCCACCAAAAGACATATCATCACTTTGATGGTTCAAATGTACATCTAAGTCAAAAAGTACAGAACATTCTACTACAGTAGAACAAAATTTAGATTTGGAAGTCTGTTAATTGACAGATTAATTTAATCCATAGTTTAAATAATTCTGGTTTAACAATTGTTTTTGAAACAAAGGCATATTCCTGAGACTTTAAAATCAAATTCCTTCTAGATTTTCAAAGTTACAGAAAATCAGAACTGTCCATCATAAACACAAGAAAAATATTGCTTATTACTGGGATCAGGCACAGAGCCCAACATTTTAAGTCATCATGCAGCATGAACTTATGAAAGTAAGCCAAATACATCCATCTGGCTCCAATTTTAATCACAGTTAAGATCTATCTTTCATTCTAATTTTATTATAAAATGATGTCATTTATCAGGGAGATAAAGATTGAGTATTATTAGTCTTAAGATGGAATCCTACTCTTCAGTGTTACAGCTCTTTCAAGCATCAAGTATATGGCTGTACAAGTTACTAAAAAATATCCTACATATAGCAAAGATCTATTAGAATTTCCCTATTCTGAAAAGGTAGTGTATACATATACATGATCCTGTCCATTTTACAATTGATTTTTGCCATTTTTTTTACCATAAATCCAGCTGCAGTTAGCAAAATACAAATCCAGGACAAAAGTTCTGTTTACGTGATAAACATAAGCTAAGATTTCTTTCAAACTGTTAGAATGACAAAAACAGAACAACACTTGGAAAGTTGGATGTCCTTTGCTGGGAAAGTCTAGCTACAGTGAATTATCACTTGCTAGCTGCAGTGAACTATCACTGCAGCTTGACGTAATTTGAAGTATCCTTGCAGCTGTCATATTTTCAGACTTGAATTCTACCCTCTCAGCTCTTGAAACAGCAGGTGAAATTACTTAACTGTCGCTCATTAGCTGATCTTAACCAAAAGGTAGTGCAGTTGAAATCTTAACCCAGGTAAGTTATATATACTATGCCATAGATATCTCATAGATATAATATAGATATATCTGATATATGATATATAGCTATATCATAGATGTAATAAGAAAACCTCAGCAAACATTTATTGACAGAAGAAAATGCGTGTGCATCTTAACTATCAAAGTCTGTTTTGGCATCCGGGGCCATCAGTTGCCCTCTCTTCTAACATTTATGGTGGTAACAACACCGCAGTCTGAGAACAGGGAAGAGAAAGCCACATCGTCTCTAAGTACTAACAACTGAAAGAAGCATGGGAAACTACATTTAATAACATCCATGGTATCAAATCCTGCACCAGAGACTAACCAGTTCTGTGGCAGACCAACAGAATCAGTGCCTGAAGTGCTTAAAGATTTTTCTTTTTCTTCCCCAACTGTGTTCCATTTCGGCTGTTATTAGATCTTCCACTATAACTGCCTTTGATATTATCTCCATTGAACTGCACTATGTTTTTATTACCTGTGTTCTTCACAGACATTTTTCTTTACTACTCTGAGCTTGTAAGAGATTTTCCCTTTCCTAGATATAAAAGACAAAAAAATTTAGGAACCCTTTTTAACAAAATGAGAGAAAGGAAAAAACCCTTAGTCTCAGAGCAGGTGAATGAAGTACTGATTGATGGCATCACATCTATCTATCTATCTCAAAAGATAGAACCTACCCATACAGAATGCCATGATCAGAAGGAGGAGTCATTGCTTTCTCTGAGGCTCAGAAATAATGCCATTTTCAAAATCAAATATAATTACAGTTTTTAAAAGAAATCTTTTATCTTAAGTCTGTAAACTTTACAAAAATAACTTACTGCCTTGAAAATAAAACCACTGCAAATATATGGAGAATACACTGCTGTATTTCAGTAGTATTCTTCTAAAATTCACCAAACACCGAGCAAATCAGTTTTAACAGAGAAACAAACAAACAAAAAATAATCAATTCATTTTCAGCAATACCTTTTATATAGATACATATACAAGCACATATAAGTTTGTATACCTGTACACCCCATATGGATTTACATACACATGAAATTTCTGTATAAAACCAGAGTTTATTATTTTTAATAGCATCTTATATATTTAAGCAGTCCCCATTCTAAGATTTTGAAAGATATTTCTAGTATTAACAATGCATTGCAGGATACTACTCATGTAATTATATCCATTTAATACAGCACTGAATTTTGGAGGGCCTTACATCTTACAGATACTTTTATACCACAAGTAAGTCTTTTCAGGCCCTCCATTGAAATTTAACAGTCCAGAACACTGCAACTAAAATAATCTCCAAGAGCTTGTGAGTGAAATTGAGTAAAATCAAGATTCTAGCTATCCAAATAATATGAACTCAAGTCTCATTCAAAATTTTAAGTGCGCACTGCAGACTAAATATCTTACACACTCCTGATCCTGAACGTTAGCTTATAATTATACTAATTATTCCTTCACATAAACTTTTGTCTAGTATTTAAAGCCAACAGCTCATGGTCTAACAAAGAATGATGGGTATTTGGGGGTGCTGCAGTGTTAATAACACAATTTGTAAATCTGGTCAATTTAGCAATTTTAAAGAAATCAAGCCTACCGTGAGTGGGTGTTTTTTCTCTTCTCCGCACTCCTGTAGCTCTGCTTCTCTCATACTCAGAGCCCACAGGGTGACCTTCACCTTCAATTAAGGTGTAGTATTTCCCACTTTCATGCTCCAGAAAATAGTTCGGAGACTCAGAGCCTTTCATTCCAGACTTTCCAAATTTGCTGATGTCATCACAAGACATTACTCCAATTTCATCTCTAAAAACAGTAAACCAGAAGATTATGGAGAAATTAACCATTTTATGATAAAGCTAAAGCGTACAACTGTCTCTCCCAAACACTAACAGTGAAAAGTCCTGCAATTGAAATGCTGTGTGTGTGAACTTTCATAAAAGTGATTCAATTCAACAAATGTAAATTCATGAAATCATCATTAGGTTCCATTTTAACATAGTTATTCAGGAGTTTTCTAGTATTTGAGAGGGAGCATAAGAATTGGTATAACATGAGAAGGCAAGGGTTTCCCTTGCAGAAATGCTTGCTTTAGAATAAGATACAAGTGGTCACATAAAAGTAAATAAAGCTAAAATCATTAAAGACTTCTTTAAATGCTTTCTTGGGTTAGGACTAAACCTACATTTTGCTCAACTGATACCTACCTAAGTGAAAGTGAAGTCTTTCAAAATAATTATATGCTGCTTAATGTATTTCTAGCTCTTAATTTTACTAAATATTTAGTTTGATTGTGGGGCTTTTTGTTTATTTGTTTTTATTAATCTAGTGAAATTTAAAAAAATTTAAAATTTTATTTTTCAAAATCTCAAATTCATTAGGATGTAAATACCTGGGGCCATAAAGTCCTGACATAGGAGACAGAATGAAAACATCCTGGAGTGCCGAGTTCTCCATTTTTGCGGATATGCCCATTGTACTTGTTGGTGTTGTAGAGCTGCTTGTTGGACTGGTTGGAATTACAGGCTGTAAAAAAAAAAAAGCACATGAATAAATTAATATTTTCGGCGCTACAAGTAAACAACAAAGTCAATGTGCATAATTTTAGGAATCTTGACCTCTTTTTTTGGATTAGCCTTTTTTTCGAATTACTGAAGTTTCTTCCAAAAAGGTGTCTACTGAAACACTGTTTTACCAAAGAGTTCAAGACTAGTTATGAAAGAAACTGATAAAAGACCAGTAGTGAAGTTAATTTAAAAGCCATCTCATGGAAAAATCTGAGACTCAGAATCAAAATATTTTTAACCAATGCAGAAAATCAATTTTATGGGGAGGATGTACACTATTAAATGCCATTAATACAAAAAATTAATTACAGAACTCTGGAATACTTGCACTGAATGAAAAGTGTTCATAACCATAATGTTGGTTTCAGTAGAAGAGTTGTTGTTAACAAGGACAGAAAACGTAGATTTTTTTAAGAAAACAGAATTCATAGTCATCTATTGTTTCCTTTTTTTTTAAGGAAACCATAGCCATGATGATTGTACCACAGTGATACAAATATAGGTTCTATGGTGACTAGCAATGAAATATAAATTAACCTAAGCAATAAAGGTGAGTATCATAAATATTAAAAGTATTAATAAAGTCTGGGGATGTTTTTGGATTTTTGCATTTTTTAATTTTTAAATGAAGTTAAACACAATTTTTTTACTCAAACGCCACAGGGAAGCTCAAGTCAATGGCTATAAGGACTACAACCAAATATTCTGTGCAGGAAACAGATATATACACAAAGAATATTTTTTAACCAAGGTACAGTCTGCGTTTATATTCAAGAAATAGAAAATATTTTTATTTAGTATTATTGTTTAGATAATTTATAGGAAAAATTCCCATTCAAATACAAAATTGTGCTTAAATAGATACAACTAGTTTTCTACAGGTGGAAGGAAAACAGAGTGACCTAGAAATTGGATGAAAGCTATGAAGACCAATTGTAATATTTTTCTAAATACAATGCTTTCTATCTTCTAGAGATAAACACTGAAATTATTTTTATGTGATTCAACAAGTAAAAGCAATCCTAAATACCAAAAAAGGATGGTTTTTCATGAGAATATCAGTCTGCACAGGGGTCCAAATTATACTACTCTTCTATGCTCATTGTTAAGCTTCTTATACTCTGATCAAATGTTTTAGGTTTCTTTTGTATTATCAATATAAATAGATGAAAGGCGACTGCTAAAGACATGAATCATTCACTACTTACTTTCTCATATTTTTGGAAATTAGGGCCTACCACCTTATACACAGTTTCAACCACTACATTTAGAAAACTACCATTATTTCTGCAGTTTTGGTGTGGCAGTATTGGTAAAGAGACTAAATATAAGCTATTCTAGTAATCCCCCAGCTTACCTGCAGCTGGATACAGTTTCCCACAGGTCAAAACATAAATTATCACCATCACAGAAAGACAAGCAGAAACTCCATTTCAGAATCAGAAAAGAAATTACCTATACCAAGTCTCTCGTGGATGATTTTTTTTCAATGGTTGTATATTCAGCAATCATCAAGGTTACAGGTTAGTCAATGAAGTTAACAATAGAAAAAAAGGGTGGGGAGAGATATTATGACTGTTCAGTTTGCCCCCAAAGAGGGTGATAGCCATGCTATTCCTGACAGATTTTAAAAAATCTAACCTTATAGCAATGTAATCTTTTTTGCTTCAATTTAGTTCAATTCTTGTCCTTACCCATCCCAGAAAGTGAGAACTTTCCTTTTCACTCTTCTTTAACTTTTTATTTATTTTTACATTCTGAATCTGATCTGTTTCCCCTTATTTTGGCTAGAAAACAAGAAAAAGCCCTAATTCTTCCCTTACAGGGCTTGTTTTCTAAAATACTAATGAACTGTAGTGTGCTCTGTACTTTCTCCAAGTGATTAGACTAGGTGTACCCAGTGTATACCAGGTGTACTCAATACCCAGCTGAGATTGTACTAATACTGAATAAAGCACAATAATTATTTCACTTATCTTGTGTTTTATATTCCTATTTATGTCTCTCAGTCAGGTATTTGAGTTTCTTCCAACATGACATTCAGCTTTTTGTTTACTGTAATTTCCACATTATTTGGAATTATTGCCACATTATTGAATTGCTACATTCTTTAAAACTGCATTTGATTATTTCAAAGTAGAATATTTTACACTTGCCCCTCTTTCACTTCATTACATATTTAGAGGTTTTTTTCTAGTTTTCTAAACTAATTTTTAATTACCAGCCAAGACTTTATTGCATTTGCAGGCCCTCCTGGTTTAGCACTGTATACAAATTTAGTAAGCAGATCCTTCAGGCTGTCAGGAAAACATAGAACAAAACCACATGTATCACCTATCTGTTGAATACTAAATGATACATCCTTTGTTTGATAGTGAACCATTAACAGCTATCTGTTAGGCAAGGTTATCCAGTAATTTTTCACCCGTTCAATCTCAATTTCACCTAGTCCTTAATTCTCTATGCCATACTTATGACAATGTCACGAGAAAAGGTATTAAAATCAGAGTAAGATATACAGCTTCTCTCCTATCTACCAGGCCAGTTAACTGCTCACATAAGAGCATTAAATCTGTTTAATGATTTCTTCATAATAAATTCATGTTGTTTTTACTCATCTGGTACCTTACAAGTGCTCGCAAACTGTTTGTGCATATTAAGTGACTGACTTACAATTCCCTGGCTCTTGCATTTCCCCTTTCTGAAGACAAGCATTATACTTCTTATTTTTCTAACCTTACTGTAATTTATCATTCTCCCACAATTTCACAATAAATACGTTTGAAAAATAATGGTCCAAGAGTGCCTCCCCCCTTCCCACCCAAGGAAATACCCACTCTTCTTGCTTTTTCAAGTGGCGTACTGTAAGAGCTCATCTGAGTTTACAGAAATGCATGCTCTTGAAGTCCACTTTCCTTATATAAGGGTTCTAAGTTTTTAAGAAAATACACTGCTTCATGACTGCTCTCAGATAAGCTGAGCGCCTCTCAGCTTTACTTATGTTCTCCACCTTCTCTATGGAAAATACCCGTCTTCAGTGTTTTCCAAGAATTTGCTGGCCATTATGTCTTTGTAACAACACCCGTTTCTATCCCTTTCTCAAAGCATGCACCCAATCCAAATAAACCATATTGGGTGATTCTGCTAGTTGCTCACAAGAAACCTTCTTCACTCATCTGGCTTGGGAGTCTTTAATGAAGAAAAGAGAGCACCCGCTTTCACCTCCTCTATCATCACTCAGGTAATTCCAGGAAATATAATTCTTCTATGATCTGGAGCTCAGAGTGAAGGTAGCAAATATGTACACCTTCTCTCTAAGCTCCAGATATGTCAGTGACATCAGACATGGAATTTCAGTTGGTTTAGGTATCTGCAAAATAGCACAGGGGTCTTTTAATATTATTAAAATGTTAGTTTAATAAGAGTATTTAATATAATATTTTAGTATTATACCAGATCCAAAAAGGTAATTTTAATAAATAGTAAATATCATCCCAACCAGGACTATCAATTCAACAGACAGTCAATTCTTTAAGTCTTATATCTCAATTCCAATAAAATTACTTAAAGTGATTATACTGACTCTGTGTGTGTACAAATGAATGTTTGCCAAAGTGTGTGCAAATCCATGCACAGGTGAAAAAAATCCCAAGGAAACCACATTTCTTTATAAAGGACTTCTGAAAAGTGACACTTTAGGTATCTGCTGTATGTTATTAAAAGTTTTTAATGAGAATAGCTAATTATCAGTAAAATGATTAAGCAATGCTGAAATACCAGAATAAAAATGAAAGACAAATGGTAAATTCAAAACTCCTCAGAAATAAACAATTGTTTGCCAAACAGAAAAATTCAAACTGTTTCAGAAACAAAATACATTGCTGTGATTCTGAGTGTGTTTTGCAAACATTGGGGATAATTAAATATTGTATCTATTCAAAAAGTGCTGTTCAAAACAACCAACATATGACCCCAGTGCATCCTGCAAAAAACAGCAGGACAAGATGCAGGAAGCTGGTAAAGCCCGGTGGTACAGCAACGAGAGGCTTGAACATGGACAACCCTTACCTTTTGAGGGGGTATGAAGATTAAGGATGGGGTACTGAGTCTCTGCTTTCTCCCTTGAAGGAATAAACTCAATCCCCAGAATTCCCCTGATGGGTGAATTCACAGAAAACACACAGATGTCACTCTTCTACATGGATTGCCTGCGGTAAGGGAAAATGGGGCTTTGTAACTGCGTATCACCCTATAAATTCCTACAGTGTGTATTTTTTGTCAGAATAGATTCATTCATGCTAGTGATAAAGATGACTAATTGCTTATTGGACAAGCTGCTATTCAGAAAAAATAAATGTTCAACAATACAAATACTACTCACAATAAGAAACAGAACTCTCAATATGGTTGAGTATTTCTCACATACTGGTAAATCGGTATAGCTGTGCTGTAAAACAGCAGGTACGTTCACAGTGTTTTCAAGTCTTGTGGATTTTTACTTTTTTGAAACTTGAAATATATACCTCTTTTTGATGTGTAAATAATAATTTTTGTCCTCAGAGTGAGAGAATACAATGAAATACATATGAATATGACAGAAGTCAATAAAAGCATGAGTGGCATTAAGACGAAAAGGCAATGACTGTTCAGCATCTCCTCTGATACAAGACATTTAAGACAACAGAGCACAACTTTTTTACTTGCTGCATTTTCTTTGTCTGAGGTGTTACAAGTCTTTCCTTGCCCAAGATATTTCTCACTGAGATAGTAAAGTAAATGGGCAGCACATAATTTCAGAGTTCATCTGAGCAATTCTATCAGGGTACAGTACCCGAATGATGAACTCCGAACTAACTTGAGTGGTAAACAAGAAGTGGCATACACTGACTTGCTATTTTTCTTTTTGCGCTCTACAAGCATCTGTTCTCATAATGCCATGGAATTTATCTTTGTACAAAG